AACCTCGGGATGTTCTTGATTGATGGGAACCGTTGTGGCGGTTCTCGAGTTCAAACTAACATCAAGCCACCTTAGCCACGTGTCAGTGAGAAGGAAGTGACAGTTAAGATGAAGTTAATCTCAGCCACATCTTGCAGGCTCTGAGGTCTGACAGCATTATCAGCAAAGCGCTTGGATTTTAACGAGTCTAGTGATGTCCCAAGCTTGGTGCTCTGCAGCCGTAGATTTCTAGAAAGAACAAAGAATCCCGCCCACTAGGAGAAGTACAGGCTTGTCAGATATTTCATTGGATTGTTGACCCTCTACAGTACCTAAACACTTGAAGTTTTCCAGAATCACGAGGCATTTTTTGAGTAAAATAAAATAAACGAATAGAATTAAAGAGGTTAAGATTTGTTATTACACCCGCAACTTCGCAAGAAAGAGGTGTTTTTTCCTCCTAGGAAGGGGTGCAATCTATAAGTGTGCCAAGCCAATTTCAGCAGACCCGCCTAATGTCCCTTGGCGGTGGACTAAATAGTGGCTCTTGATGCAAATAGCAGGAGGAAGAGATAAATTTGAAATTGAAGGAGATTGTACATGATAGTTCTGAGCTTTAAAGGGTATCTAGTGTCCAGATTTTGTACCTCGAGATCAATTAATTGAATCTATAGTGAGCCTTTTACAGTTCAAATTTGAGTTCTGCATCTAGCAGACGGCGCGAAGCATTGCGGCCATATGTGGCCCAATTGCTACTCACTCAGAGTCAGCCAGTCCGGCTACTAAGATGGGTGTTTGTGAACCCATTAGGTTGTGTCTTCATACGAGAGCTCACGGAAGTTATTGTGCTTTTTGAAAACGACCAAGGACTGTGCAAAAGAGGCCAACTGAGACGCTGATACCACTTCCCCCCAGAAAAGCCTGCTTTCGATTGGGAGACGAGGGTGCGAAGGAAACGCTGTTAATGTTAGTTTACTGCCCTCCCGGTTCTCTCGGATATCAAGCGAAGTGCGCCGGCAACAGACGAGGCGGTTTGAATTTTACACAAACCTCATATTTTCTCACTTACTCTTGAAAACTCGTTATGAGAAACTCCGAAGGCTGTTCTGTTCCTGAGAATGACACAGTTGACAGTCAATACCTGGGCTAATCTCCTATTCCAGGCGCTCTGTATTTGGCATGCGCAGCGTGGGAAAAAAACTACTCAAGCTACTCAAGCTACTCTCGAGTAGGCTTGAGTAGAGTAGAGTACTACTCTAGAGTTACTCAAGAGTAGTCACGTGCAAGTCACGTAAATCTAGTAAATTAATATTTATTTAATTATTAATAAATAAATAAGGTACTTATTAAGTAGCACTATATAAGCCAAGCTAGAATTTATATAAGGCTACTTAAATACTACTTTTCTTTTATAAAAAACCAATATTTCTCTTTAGAATTATTCTTTACTTTTATTTTTCTGCTTTTTTTCTTCTTTTAATTTGTCTTTAAATAACCCCTGGCTTTTTAAGTAAAGTATTAAGTAAAGTATAAGTACTAGTCAGAAATGTATTTTAATAAAATATTAATTAGATTTATTACTTTATTTTATTCTCTTCTTATATTATATATTAAATAATAATTAAAGTAATTAATTAATTCAAATATTAGTTAATTAATAATAATTTAATTATTATTTTAAAATACAAAAATTAATTAAATTATTAGATAAAAAATATTCTTTATTTATTTAAAAGCTATTTATGAATCTTATTTTAACTTATTATTATTTTTTCTTTATATTTCCTTTACTTTTATATATTTCTCTCTTTTAATATACTTTTTTCTTACTTTCTTATAACTTGTATTTTATTTTTATATATATATTTAAACTAAAATTAAATAAAACCTTATAAAGCTTGCGGTTATAAGACTAAATAATATAGTACTTAAGTACTATAATTTGCTATAAACTTTATTAAAAGTATTAAAAGCTCTTATAATTATAAATTTTAAGCTTATAAATACCTTAAAAGCAATTTTACTAATTTTATATAAATATTATTATAATATAATACTTATTATAATATAATACTTATTATAATATAATACTTATTATAATATAATACTTATTATAATATAATACTTATTATAATATATACTATTATTATAATATAATAACTTATTATAATATAATACTTATTATAATATAATACTTATTATAATATAATACTTATTATAATATAATACTTATTATAATATAATACTTATTATAATACTATTAGCTAAATAAAAATATAAAAAATAAATACTTTTATTAGAAAACTATTAAAAAACTATATATTTATTCTTAGAAAAACTATATAAAAATTATTAAAAACTCTAATTTCTATATCCTATAAATACCCTATTTTTATAATTACTTTTTATTATTCTTATTATTATTCTTATTAGAATTCTTTCGAGAAATAAATAATAAATTAGCCTATAAAGCTATTAGCTATTAGTAAGAAATAAGAAAGAAATAAGCTTATTTAATATTAAAAAATATTAATTATATTATTAAAAGTATTTTATATTTATATTAAACTAGTAAGAATTATTTAATTTATTTCTTAAATTATTAGAGAAATCTATTAGCCTTAAATAATAGTTTTAATATAAGAAGTATATATAATTTAGTATAGAAGAAAAATAGTAATAGCCTTTTCTCTTTTAAATAAAGAATAAAAAAGATACTTATATATATTAATAATTTAAAAAAAATAGTTTAATTATATTATATATATTTAAGAAACCTTAAATAATATTAGAATAAGAAATAAAAGAAGGAATTTATAACTTATAGAATTATATTTCTTATTCTTAAAATAATAATAATTATATATTAAGTAATTATTACTCTTAATATAAATAAGATTAGGAAATTTAGTAATATTCTTAGAATATTAAAAATAATAAAGATAAATTAAGAATATAGAAATATTAGCTAAATAAATAATAATAGGCTAATAAATACTAAGAAAAGTATTTATTTTAATAAATAAAGAAATAAAAAAGGAAATTAGAAAAAGACTTAAATAAAGCTTAAATAAGGCTTAAAAAAGGCTTAAAGAAAAAAGATAAGAAATAAGAAGAAACTAGATATAGTATTATAATTAAGGAAAAGAAAAGTTAGTTAGTAGAAAAAGAGAGGCCTTTTTATAATATTCTTTTCCCAAATAGTAATTATAAATTCGGAACTAGCTTTATACTAGAAATATCTAGAAAATTCTAAAGAAGAAATTTATAAATAAATTAGAAGATTAGATTAACTTTTCTAAGCTCTTAGGCCTATAAAGTAATAATTTATTTATAAATAAAGGCTAAGTTAGGATTTATAAACTAATTAGGAAATCGGATAAGCTTTATATCTAATAGTATATACTATATTTATATTACCTTTATAAGAGGAAATTACTAGAGGTAATTTGCAAACTAGCTAGAAAGAGTTAGTAAACTATATCCTTAACTTTATTACCTAGTATAATAATAGAGTAATTATAAAGAGTCTTTAGAGAAAGCTAGTAGCCAGGAAAGTTTCAGGGAAACTTTTATAAAGCTATTTGTAGTTTTCCTAGGCCTCTTGGGAATAAGGGCCTAGAGAAAGAATTAATATAATAGGTATATATAATAGTATATAGACAGGTATTAGATATTATAGATCTAGTTTCCTATTTTGGATATAGCTTGTAATCGGAATTATATGAATCGCATGGGATTTCCTAATTAAGTAAAGGGCTTCGCATATCTGGCTAAGTACTAGGGAATATATAGGGAGACGCTCCTAGCTTTGGAAAGGGGCATTAATTAGTCTCTTATTAGAATCAATTCTTGGAATTAGTTACACTTGCAAGCGTCACTCCGCAGCTTACTTACCTTGACTACTTGTATATTACCCTACTATTACGTACCTCACATCTTCTCTCTTTAGTTATTCCTCTTTAAATAGATGCATTCCAGTTACTTGGTATTAAGACTCGAACCCGTAATAATAAGAGGTATAAGGAATGGTAGGGGAGGAGACGTTATTTTCATATAGTACCAGAGGACGAATCAGGAATAGTAAGATCACGAGAGTCAAATACAGGTATGAGATATATACACGTTCTGTAAAATTTTGGGTAGCTTCATTCGGACTAGCGTGGAAAATTTGACAGGGAAAGAGTGTCTGGTAAGCTTTTCTTAGTAAACCTTCTTCTCCTAACAAGTTAAGAGTACGAAGGCAAAATCGGGGTAATTTTGAAACAATAAAAAGACAATGTAATTCACCAGGGCGGACTCAATGTCATCTCACTACCCCGAAGACATGTCGACGAATCGTTCACGCAGTCCAACGGCGCACTTGACTTGTCTGTCCAGATCCTACGAAGCGATACCCACGACTGCCAACGAATTCAGTTCCTTTAACTACTGATGAACAGCAATATCAACATAAGAACACAAGACGACTGTGCACCACGCAGATGTATAGACATACAGGAGTAGGAGGTGGCACGCTGGTGGGGGAGTGGAGAATTCGAGACGCAGATTGCTCTCCGCGAGAGCTCGACTAGCGCGATCGGTCATGGTACTTCGTACAGGGATCTTTAAATGTTAATCAGTATTTAACTGCATATAGCAAGAAAGGCTGGAATCAAGACAGGTGATTGGTCAGACTACCCTGAGATTCTAGCTAGTTCGCCGATAAAACCCCTGTAAACAGGTGACAATTAACATTTATTCGGGCTGTAGGGAGTAATTTATCGCGAATAATAAGAGTAAGACGCAAAAGGCATGCGAGTACTGTTTGCCAACTAGAACAGTCACATGATTATCTATCGAAGGTTCTAGAAGAACGCCACACTCTAAGTTACTAAGCGTGTGGCTAAACACCCCTTCCCCGCAGGTCAGGTGAGTGCCTGCCGCTACCGGCGGAGATTTCAGGCATTTATCCCCTTGCCAGAATTTGTCCCCACCTTTTTCCATCTCCCCGTTTATACATCTGTCAAAAACCATTTCAGGGTCAAGTCGATAATTAAGCTCAACAGAGTTAAGAAAGAAAGCTTTTCACGACAAGAAAAGAAAGACCCCGACAGCTCCGTGTGAACTACCCAGAGTATCAGTCTTAATGACTATGGCAGTCCAGCCGGCACCAACGACCGGTAATGTACAAATGCCAGGTCTCCTTCGTCTGCCACTCGAGCTACGGAACCAGATTTACCGTTACTTGATCCCGATAAAGCGCATTATCGAAGTATCCTATCCTCGCTTCAAATACACGATCTCGAACAAAGGAACGCTAGGACTGGATATCGCGGGCTTAGATATAGAAGAGGATGTCTCTGACTCCGATGATTCTCGTTTAGAGCAAGGTGAACAAGCACTTTCAGATATTGGAACACTGGATAATAATCTGTCTATATAGGAAACGGAGGGTAGCGATCCCGAATCTGGTCTACTGGAAGACACACACATGAAAGACGTTGCGGATTTTGGTGGCTATACAAACTCAGTATACGAAATAGATTGGGATCAAGTCACTACCTCTTGGGGCACAGATAGAAAGAAGAATAGCATTTTCCTGGTATGTAAACAAATTTCGGATAAAGCCCTGGATATTATATATGGCGAGAATGCCTTTAGGCATTATCTCCACGCAGAGGGAGATCTTTGTCTCAAGAGGAACTTTACCGACGCAAACAGACGCCGAATGCGAATGCTGCTCCTTACAGCAGAGCACAGGAGCTGGATCGGGGAGATTACCCCCGACATTGCAATGTGGTCTTCTATTATTCCAACGTTGAACATTTTACGCCTGGTCGCGGAGCAGCCTGTCCAAGAGACATACTGGAATGCTCCTCCACTTGAGAAGGAAATGGAGAGCTGGTTTATGTTCATGCGAGCTTTTCTGAATTGCTTTTATCATTTATTAGAAGGCAAGTTACTGGAGGTGGATTTTAATGGGAAAACAGAGACAGGCGAGGTGGTGAAGGAATGTATGTTAGGTGGGTATCGCGAGGTGCGATGCAGGCTTTCTGGTGATCTCATGTTTCGGAGAGGTCCGTTCTCGTACAATTCAGGGTATTGGGATAATGATGACCGAGGCTTTGGCTCGTGGGATGCATAGTGTGGGTGTGAGAGCTAGGTAGCTGTGTAGGAACGATCTTTACCTTTGGTCTTTTATCTTGGATTTACCTTGGCTCTTTGCATTTTTGAGCTGCATCTATTACCGAGGAGCAATTCGCATTTCACAAAGCTGCACGAGTTTAAAGCGATGTACGAGCGGGCGCCGAAGCCATTCGAGAAGGCCCTCAAACCGGAGCACACATCGACACTTTTGACGGTCAACGACCTGGGCAACCCGACGGAAACCACTGTTGGCCTTGGGCCTTCTCTTCCCTCGAAGGTCGCCCGGTGCACGATAATTCGGGGGTAAAGATGGGGACATTGCTACGAGACAGATAAGAATGCAGTGTTGGGTCGCTACTATCTTTCCATAGTTGATGAATGGCATATCAGGTCTGTAGAGGATTAGCGTGCAAGTAACGATTTACCCTTTTACGTAGTACGAATTACAATGTCCATACCTGGTTGCTACAGTATTGTCTCTTCCAATGTCTTCACTAGAAGCCTGCTAGATTGCTGACAAATTCGAAGATGACTTTATAGATGGCAGAGTAAAAAGGTCGAAAGACTGCCGAGATGAGCCCAGTATCAGCACGCAAGACAACGATGACTTAGCAAAGACGTTCAGGGCAGTTTAGTAAGTTAGCAACAAATCTCGAAGCCAGCCTGAGCTTGCCTCAATCAGTGTCCAGGCACCAAGCAGCATGCTGCCTGCCGATAGAATGTTCGAGAAAACTACTCATACGCCACACACGTGATCAGGCTGAAAAATTGTGGCTAAGTTAAATATAGCGAGCCCGGGCGTGAGCATAGTATATTGTGACTAGGCTAATGCATATTACTAAGCACTGAAAGATTTCTCCCCTCTCTCCGCACCGGCGAAACTCCCGGACTGCATTCTTTTCCTCCTTGAGTGTCTTCAAAATTTGGAGCCATATTCTTTTGATATAGAACCTTTCTTTAAGCGCTCCGAATTTTAAAGAGACTCTAATGGTCGTGATTAAACAGGGGGGGACAGCCGAAACGGCGATCGGTGGCGTCAATGAAACGATCAACAGCATAACCAACCACAGCTTTTTACGAACCAAATATTGCGTAGAAACCAAGTGTATGAGTCTATCTCCGATGTGAATCCATCCCTAGGTCTGAAGCTGTCCTCAAATGCCATCCATCTCTCACTTCCGGAAATTGTAAAACTAGGCACTACCCAGGACTCAGGTAATGCTACCAGGTAATGCCACCCCCCAGACCGGGAACTAGTCATCTTAGGTCATGCTACCAGGGTAATGCTACCTGTTACAGGGATCAATATAGGTTAAATTACGCAAGCATTGCCGCTTTATACACACCTCACTCTCAGTCCACAGGGGCAAATCACTGCAATTGAAGCTATTCAGACAATTCTACCACTTTGTCTCCATTCCATTAGCTGCAATTACATCCAGACAACGCTGGTGCATCGTCCTTATCCTCTCTCTTACCTCTGCATCTGTAATTGTCTCCCATGCTCTTAAAACAGCTGCCCGGAGCCTTGCTTTATCACGGTATACCGCAGGATCTATCTCTTCTAAGAGATCCTTGAGACGGTCCCATATATCCTCAATTGGGGACAGATCTGGAGAGAATGGTGGCCAGAAAATCAGCCTCACATTCCAGCTCTTTAAGAGAGCAAGTGTCTCTGCTGCCTTATGCCCTGATCCACCGTCTTGTTGGAAGTAGAGGCCCGGGTAATTAAAGAGGTAATTGACAATTACTGGTACGGTATACTCGCAGTACGATTTCGTTGTAATTGTCCCCCACTCTTTCTCCCAGAACAAGCCTCTCCCTTTCCCATACTTCCCACTTATACAGCCCTAGAACATCCAGCCAATTCGCCTCTGCCACTTGTGTTGGATACAATCTGGGTGGAAGAGCTCAGATAAACCGATTTTCCTTGTATACTACTGTCTCTTGTGATAGCCTGGCTGTACCCAAGTCTCATCGCTCCAGCAGATCTCGTCCCATTGATCGTCTGTCCAGTTTAGATGCTCTTGTGCCCACTCAAGCCGGAGCCTTTGATTCTTAGGAGAGATTGGGGGTGTTCGTCTTCTTATACCCCGGCAGTAACCCTCCTTCTTGAAGGCTGTGCGAACAGCATATTCCCCACAGTTCCAGCCAAGCCATTTCGGCAGCTCTTTCCTTGGAATATCGCGTGAGAGGGAGCTGAAGGTAGCCCAGCTAATAAGGTGCTTGCGTTGAGGAGTAGAGAGGAGTGGATGACGGCCACATCGTTTCTTTTGAGGTGTTGGACGATACTGTAGGGCGTAATTAATCTGCTTACGAGTAAGCTTTGGGTTCTGGAGGAGAATATTAGCGATAGTCCAGCCAGTAGTATAGTAGAGAGTTTGTATGCGAAGATGATTATCTCTAGTCGACGGGTTTGAGTATGTTTTTGGTATAGGAATAAAGATTGATGATTCCATTGATAAGTTAAGAGAGAAGAAGACGAGAGTGAAGTATCTTATAGCGGCATGAGAAACAGGAGACTTACCGTAATTAGCTGTTCCGACACCTGTTCTGATTGGTGGGATCACCCTGTAATTCTAGCTGGTTCGCCGGTGGAAACCCTGTAATCAGGTGCTAATTGAGGTAATCAGGTGTCAATTAACCTTTAAAACCCCACGTAGGTAGTACTTACTTCGTACTCCCTATGGCCCCAATAAATGTAAATTGCACCTGATTACAGGGGTTTAGCTCGGCGAACTAGCTAGAATTACAGGGTAGTTCCTGTTGGAATGGACATTTATTAATAATAGTAGCTGGCCTTCTAAATCAAGGACTTGGGGGCATATATATATATGGTAGCGTGATTTGTCAGGTAATACCATGACAAATTAGCTGACGTGCAGAAATGGAGAAATTGGTAAGCTGACGTCCCGTGACGTTACTTTTAATAGTTCCACTACTCAGAATAGCTGTTTACCTGGTGTTTATACGTCAGAACAGGTGCTTTATAGTAAGTCCCCTGTCTTCTCACGCCGCTATAAGACTATTTATCTCTCTCGCTCTCTCTCTCTTTTACTCTTAATGGATTCTATAGTCTTTATTCCTATACCAAAAACACCTACCAAACCAACGAGTAGAGATGACCGTCTCCGTATCCAGACCCTGTACTATATAGCAGGGTGGTCTGTCCACGATATACTTCTCCAGAACCCCAAGCTTACCCGCCGACAGGTCGATTATGCTCTCTCCTTTTGCCCTACTCCCCAAAAACAACGATATGGCCGTTACCCACTCCTCTCTACACCCTAACGCAAGTACCTTATCGATTAGGCTACGTTTAACTCCCTCTCGCGTAATATTCCAATGAAAGAGCTGCCAAAATGGCTTGGTTAGACTTGTAGTAAGAAGGCTATTTGTATAGTATTTAAACAGGAGGGATATTGCCGAGGTATAAGGAGGAAGAAGCCTCTAATTTCAGAGAAAAATCAGCGTCTATGCCTTAAGTGGGCACAAGAGCACCTTTCTTGGACCGATAATTAGTGGGATGGGATTTGCTAGAGCGACGAGAGCTAGGTACAACCTGGATATTATATAAGATAGTGGTATACGAGAAAAATTAGAGTATCTGAGCTCTTTTACCCCGATTATATCTAATATAAGTAGTAGAGGAAGATTGGGTGGATGTTCTGGGGCTATATAAGTGGAAGATATAGTAAAGGGACGGGTATATTCTGGAAGAAGAAGTAGGGGATAATTACTATAAAATCGTATTGCGAGTATACCGTCCCAGCAATTCTCAACTACCTATTTAATTATCTAGGCCTCTCATTTTAATAAGACGGAGGATCGGGGCATAATACAGAGGCTATACTCGCTTTTCTAAAGAGCTAGAATATAATACTAATCTTCTGGCCTCTATTCTTACCAGATCTGTCTCTAATTGAGAATATTTGGGACTGTCTTAAGGATCTTTTATAAGAGATAGACCCTGCAGTATACCAGGACAAAGTACGGCTCTAGCAGGCTGTTTTAAGAGCTTGGGAAACGATTACAGATATAGAGATTAGAGAGAGGATAAGGACGATATACTAGCGCTATCTAGATATAATTATAGCTAATGGAATGGAGACAAAGTAGTAAAAAACGCTCTGAATGCTCTGAATGCCCTCAATTGTGTGATTTTGCTACCGTAATATATATATAAAGCGGCATTAGTGGCAATGTCTTACATTTAAAGATCCCTATACGGAATACCCTCCAGACCCGGGAACTAGTTATCTTAGGTTATGCTACCAGGTAACACTACCAGGTAATGCTACCCCCCAGATCCGGGAACTAGTTATCTTAGGTTATGTTACCAGGGTAATGCTACCAGGGTAATGCTACCAGGGTAATGCTACCAGGGTAATGCTACCAGGGTAATGCTACCAGGGTAATGCTACTAGGGTAATGCTACCCAGGAATCCCCCAGAACCGGGAACTCGTTATACGTTATACTACTAGTTCATGTTACCTAGGTCCTGGCCGACATATTATTTGGTGGGGGGTTTGTGGCTGAAAAGTCGCGGGGTAGAACGTGGCTGACCTTCTGTGGCTTGGCTCGCAAAGACACACAGCCCCTCTGCCTAGGCGCTGGCACTGGTACTGAGCTCCTCTCGCCTGCCACTCCAAGCTTGTCCCAAACTGGGTTACTACTTGTGCGCGCCTCGTTCCAAGCTAGTCCCAAAGTGGACTACTCTTATATTGGCAGCTACTTCGTATAGGGATATTTAAAGGTAAAATTATGGGCCCTGCGCTGCTTTTAAATCATATTACAGTGGCGATTGAAGCAATTTACAGAACTGCAAGCTGCGTAGTACTACGCAAGAGGATTCTACTATTTTGTCTCTATTCTATGAGCTACAATTACATCCAAACAACGCTGGTGCATTGTCCTGATCTCTGCTCTTATTTCAGTGTCTGTGACCCTCTCCCAAGCCCTCCAAACTGCCTCCTTTAGCCTTTGTAGGTCCCTGTGGACTTGGGGATCTAGCTCTTGCAAAATGCCCTTTATTCTATCCCAAATACTCTCAATTAGTGACAGATCTGGAGAGAAGAGAGGCCAGAAAATGGGCACAATTCCCCTACTTGCTAGAAAAGCAAGTATAGCTTCTGCGTAGTGCCCAGGCCCTCCGTCTTACTAAAAAGAGAGCCCTGGGTAGTTCCAGAGGTAGTTAAGAATAAGGGGAACTATATGTTCGCAATAAGTCTTTATTATAATTATGCCCCAATACTTCTCCCAGAACAAGCCTACTCCTTTGCCGTACTTCCCGCTTATACAAGCCCAAAATATCCAGCCAATCTTTCTCTGCCACTTGTGTATTACGTAGTCA